GTTGGATGGAGATCCAATACCCAATAGGGCAAGATCCAATAGGGTTAAGTTAACAGGGGACTATATAAATAGGAGGAAACCAAAGGTTCATATGCTAGAGCTTCTCTTGGTTGTCACTTCCTATTCTCCTCCTCAAATAGTAGGCCTGAAGATTCGAGGAGGATCGTCGCAGCTCTACTGTGTGGTCCACCGCTACAGAGGAGAACGCTTGACCTCTTTCACCCAGTCTTATAGATCTGTAGAGATTCGGGGATATACAATCTCCCTAGGTGACACAATTTTTCATATACGTACTTATTAGTTTTATGAATTTTGTATACCAATCTTCGCACGATGACAAACACAATTTATGGAAAATTTGAGGATTTTTGTTTTCTGTTCTTCCGCTGCGCATGTGATGTCGCCTCTAGATTTTCCTACACAAAAGTCGTAGGAAACTTGAGCATGAACAAAACCTTGGAGAACTTGTAATGATATGTTTATTAGCCCTAGATGTAGCAGGACTTGGGTCAATTCATGTGAGGATGCATCCTTTGTAGCACTTCAAAACCAACCAAAAGAAAATCGGGGTTGTATACTCCATTGTCCGTTCCATCATGATCATGGGAGAGCATATCTATGGACTTCTTAAGAGGTCTACCTATGATGAAATGGTGACACGACTATCTATTTGTGACGGTCGATAGGTTTTCAAAGATGGTGGGGCTCATGCCTTACAAGAAGACAATAATCAGAGGAGTAGCTCGATTATTCTTCTAACACATGTGGACACACTTTGACCTTTCAAGTTCAATCGTGTTAGATCATGACGGTCATTTCTTGAGCAGCTTTTGGAGTTCACTTTGGACCACTATAGATACTAAATTGAAGGGAAGCACAGCCTTCCATCCATAAGCCGATTGCCAGACCGAGGTAGTCAACCACACTATGGTTCATCTCCTTCGAGGATACAACTTTGACACCTAAAGAAATGAGACGAAAGCTTACCATACTATTAGTTTGCTTTTAATAGGGTAGTGCATAGTTCTACTAGCAAATCACCGTTAAGAGATATGCTTGGTGGAATATGTAATGCAGAGCATGTCATATACTGTAGAGGTGAAGAGTTTAAATTTATCTCAATATTTTTTATTTCACACAACGGCAATCTAATTTTCAATTTTTGTGGAGTTACATGTAGTTGTGAAAAAAGGTCACAACAACGAACCATTAACAACAACAACAACAACAAAATTAGACCAACGGAATATGAAAATTATATGACTTTTTATGTCTTAAAGTGTTGATAGAATAAGATTTGGGTGGATTAAATGCCAGTTTTTGAGAGCTGTTAACACGTAGCGAGAATCACATATCACCACCCTTCAACTGCCTGCACAGATCATCCTCGCCATCTCCTTCCTCCTCCTCCTCCGCCCTATAAGAAGGCCATGAACGAGGTCTCATCCTTCATCCACTTCCTCCTCATCCTTCTCCCCGTAAGAAGACCAATCCTTGGTGAAGGAGGTGATCTCACCTTTCGCTTACCTCCAACATGGGATTCCGTTGCTTTAACTGGCGTCTCGTCATCTTCTTCGTCCTCTCCATGGGGTTCCAGGGCGAGCTGGCTGGAGCTCACGGAAGACGGCAGCTGGTGCAAAGCCTCGAGGCGGCGGATGATGGGGTGTGCACCGCCGTGGTGAGCCCTCAGGGTTACGAGTGCCGAGAATATGAGGTAGCGGAGTGCAGATAAACGTGGATGGATTGATGATTTATGCGGGCATGGCATGAGTGGTTGAAGCTTGTTGCGTCTCTTGCAGGTGAAGACGCAAGACGGGTACATACTGACCATGCACAGGATCCCACAAGGAAGAGGAGGCGGCAGCGCGGGCAAGAGGCAGCCGGTGCTGCTCCAACATGGAGTCCTCTCGGTACGTTCCCTTAAGCAATCTGAATGTGTTGCCATGCATGCATGCATGCAGGGTACGTTGTCTTCTTCGTCATTCTTCTGATGATGATGATGATGATGATTGACGATCGATGAATGATGGCAGGACGGGTTGACATGGCTACTGAATCCACCTCGACAATCGCTGCCTTTCGTACTTGCAGACAACGGATTCGATGTATGGATTACACACGGCAGGGGCACCAGGTGGAGCCGTCGCCATGAGTCTCTCAAAACATCGGACACGGTTGGTCATCTTCTCTACGTTGTTGATTATGAAGTATCGAGCAGGTTGTTGGTATGATTGAGCATCATCCTTTTGTTGTCGGGTAGGCTTATTGGGCGTGGTCATGGGATGAGTTGGCCAGCTATGATTTGCCTGCTACTGTGGGTTTCGTATTCCGGAAAACTGGGCAGAAGCTGCACTATGTTGGTCACTCCATGGTAGGAGACTTTACGTACTTTAATGCCAAACATGTCATTCTTCCTTCCACTTTGAATTACTTCGTATGTATGTTCTGCTACTTACTGCCACCACTACAACTACAACAACTGACAGACGTTGGATGATGCTACAGGGAACTCTGACAGCTCTATCAGCATTCTCCGAGGGG